TTCCTGGCTGCCCCCCCGGGACCCTTGCCCCCATTCACCCCCCTATTCCCCCCCCGACCCATCCCGACCCCTATCCACACCGCTGCCCCCCTGACCACCACCCCAAACTCCCCTGCCCTCTATCCAACCCCCCCTGCTCCCTGCCCCCTTACCACGCTGCCTGGAACACTGGTGACTGGCGGTGCTACAGTCGTGCCACCTGGCTAGAGCCGGGCCACGACGACGACGCCACCACGCAGCACAGAGCACCAGGTCAGGCCAGGCTCTGCAGCTGCGCTGTCCCAGGAGCTCACAGCCCCGCCGGCCAGAGCATTGTGCTGGCGGCAGGGGGAGCGAGTTGAGGCTGCGGGGGAGGGGGAACAGCAGGGGAGGGACCAGGGGTAGCCTCCCAGGCCAGGAGCTCAGGGGCCGGGCAGGACGGTCCCACGGGCCGGATATGGCCCGCGGGCTGTAGTTTGCCCACCTCTGTCTTAGCCCATTAATGTCTATGGCAAAACTCCCTTTGACTTCACTGGGACCAGAATTAGTGTCTGTGTAGCCCAAGGTCACTGAAACTTCCTGGGCTTTTTACAAGATCCTCATGTTGCTGTGGAAGGAGTTTCTGATGCTGTGCATGTTGCTGCTTAATCCAGGTGTCTTTGCTCCTACGTTGAGCTAGCTTACAAGCCAAACCCGGGCTTCCTCCTAGTCCTTTCTTTACCTTGAACTTGCACTGTTCAGTTCCCATCTTGGTAAAATGAATAGCATCGGCTGACACCACTTGAATGTGAGGAGCCTGCATTACTCCCTGGGGAATCCTGGATCAATAGTCCCATTTGGAAGTAGGGCAGATATTTAGGAAAAGCTCTTGCATGATTCTGCAAAGCCACGTTGGACCCTGAAGTTTGTGCTGGCCATTGATGCACTCTGTTTTGATTACTTGTTAAGTAGCTCAGATTTAACAGGGTATTGGAAGTAGGAGTGTTTAGAGTAAATGTGATTTTTTTTTCTGGCTATGATCATCGAGGGCTTAGAAGCTAAGAATGGTCTGACCTAGTCAGGATTTGGATTGGAGACCTCCAAGGAAAACCTAAGATGTTCCAAGAAATGATCCTAGCAATTCATCCTTCCTCTGAGTCAGCACTCAGCCAGTGACCCAGCATTGGGGTGGGGGTCTGTACTGTTTCCTGATGAGAGAAAACGAATGTCCTATTCATAACCATGTCATAACCAATTGAATACTTCGTGTTTTACGTCTGCATCGGTGTCCTGGCAAAATTCCCATTGCTTTAACTGGACAAAGTATTCTATACACCCTGTTCTAAGCAGGGCTGCCCAGAGGGGAGGGCAAGTGGGGCAATTTGCCCCAGGATCCACAGGGGCCCCCACGAGAATATAGTATTCTATAGTATTGCAACTTGTTTTTATGGAAGGGGCCCCCGAAATTGCTTTGCCCCAGGCCCACTGAATCCTCTGGGCGGCCCTGGTTCTAAGATGCTATATAGTGTTGCTGGTACCCTTTAAATGGCTGCCTTATTCCATCTAAAAAGTGGCTGCATTTCAGTGAATTCCCACCTGTTTATAGTTTGTAATTCTATAAAATGTCATTAGCAAAAGGGGCCATAATCACCAATAAATAATAACAACAGTACAATATTTCAACCTGAAAAGAGTTTTGTTGTCAGAAAACCTGGCATTTGCAGGAGGTATTTGTTTGAACATTCTTTCATAAGAGGACTGTTATTCTGTGGTGGAATATTCCAGGACAAAGGAGATTCTGTGGGATGCATTCCATGTTAAATGAATTACTTTGAAAAATGTTGGCCTTTGAGGGGAAGGCTTTGTAAAGTTTCCAATGTAGCCAGCAACCACTTCAGGTCAAGGAGAGCCTCTAGAGCAGGGGTGGGCAACCTATGGCCCGCGTACCAAAGGCAGCACGCGAGCTGATTGTCAGTGGCACTCACACTGCCCAGGTCTTGGCTGGGGGGCTCTGCATTTTAATTTAATTTTAAATGAAGCTTCTTAAACATTTTAAAAACCTTATTTATTTTACATACATCAATAGTTTAGTTATATATTATAGACTTATAGAGAGAGACCTTCTAAAAATGTTAAAATGTATTACTGGCCTGCGAAACCTTAAATTAGAGTGAATAAATGAAGACTTGGCACACCACTTCTGAAAGGTTGCCAACCCCTGCTCTAGAGAATATTTCCTCCTCCCATGATGCTTTGTGAAACCAGCCTGATGTTGAAACTTGCCACCTATTTTTGCAAGTGCAGTTTTGCTCACTCAATTTATTGCAGGCATACATGCCGATATTTAGATGCAGCTAGTTGATTTGCAGCTAGTCAGGTAAGTAGATGTGTGCTTACTGGGATCTGCACCCACAAATATAGAGGCTGAGTTTCAAAATCAGGCCTTTTAAATGTTTAGGTGAATACCACTCTGCAAAGTTATTCATTGTAAAGGAGGAATATAGGAATGACCAGACTGGACCAGACTAGTAGTCAATCTAAATCAGTGTCCCTGACAGTGGCCAGTAACAAATACATCAGAGGAAGGTGCCAAGAAAACCCCATTATGGATAATTATGGAATAGTCTACCAACAAGTAGGGTGACCAGATAGCAAGTGTGAAAAATGGGGGCGAGAGTAGAGGGTAATAGGTACCAATATAAGACAAAGCCCCGAATATCGGGACTGTCGCTATAAAATCAGGACATCTGGTCACCCTACCAACAAGGGAGTTTCTCCCTGATCTCCGGGAGTTGGTGGTTGAAGTAAATGTTTTTTGTTAATAAAAATAATTCATTGTGCAATGCCTGTCTGGTCCAATGGGAGAGTTTTCACTGAAAGGTTATTAAGCTATGGGAGGCATCTACTGATGAATGTGTGTCACATTCCTGTTTCCTGTCCCTTTGTCAAGGTTCAACAGCCTCCGTGCGGTCGCAGCCTGCTGACACCAGTTCTCTCCTGCAAATCCCAAAAGATCATTTTCACCACATAAGACCTCATGGCAATTTGGACTGGGAAAGCAAATCCAAGATCCCCCCAACTGTGCATTCTCCCTCTGCAGAAAGATTACTTCGTAGGCAGGTAAGCAGAGCTGTGACTGTGAACAGGCTGGAGTTCAAGACTGATGGGTTACTAAGCTTTATATCGCAATTTCATGAGATCTGTAACCCTCATCTAGCAATAATCCCCAAAAGATTGGTCAATTTTTGAAGAGAAACCCATTGAATGTTCTCTAAAGAGCCGTGTGATGGCTTACATCTCCTTTGGCAATAGGAAACGTTCTCCATTTGATTAATACTTTGTCCTTCCTAGCCTTTTCATTGATACAGCCAAGTGTTCCTTAGGGGTCATTGGAGTTCACTGAACTAGTTCCTAACAGCCACGGAATGCTTTCCCCAACCTTTGAGAGTGCACAATGATTGCCGATAATCCTCCCCAATCAACTCTATGATTGCTGTAATTTCCTCTCGTAGGGAAGAGCCATCACTTTTGACAAGGAAATGTGTGTTTGGCTTTTATGTCTGAACAAGCCGAAGTGGGAAATGTACCCTTTCTAGAGCAGTGATATCAAGTTGAGTTACTTTCGTTTTTATCTAAGCTAGGAGTATTTTCCTCATGAGATTAGGAGAAAAAATTCAGACATGCCTAAGTGATTTAGGAAGCCAATGCTACATCTGCATTACAAGTTGGGATGTGATTCCCCTGCCTGTGTACACATAATCATGCTAGCCTGAGTATAAATAGCAAGGTAGCCGTGCTAGAATGGTTAGCAGCAGTGAAGGCACAGCTGAGCCATGCCCAGGGCCGGCTCCAGGCACCAGCCGAGCAAGCTGGTGCTTGGGGCGGCAGATTGAACGAGGCGGCATTCCGCCCAATCCTAGAGCATCATGGCCGCTTTTTTTTGTTGTTGTTGTTCCGCTCTGGCTGCCCTGTAGGGGGCGGTGGCGCGGAGGACGGGAGCGCCCTGCAGCAAGCCCGGCAGGGCAGTCCTCATCCTTCCCCTCTGCCAACCGAAGCGGAGCCCTCCTGGCAGGCAGCAGGTGGCGCGCGGCACGGCGGGAGGGACCGCATGGCAGTGCCCTGCTGTAGCCTTGGCCGCCCCCCTTCTCTCTCTCTCCTGCCCACTCCCTCTCCCTCCCGCCCCCGCTAGCTGGTCCCCCTGCACCCGCACTCCGGCGCACAGATCACTGGGTTTTTCTTGTTTTTTATGCTTTGCTGTTCTGGCCGCCCCGTTTTTTTTTTGCTTGGGGCGGCCAAAAAGGCAGAGCCGGCCCTGCCCATGCCGAATACAAATCCACCTGAAACCAATGGGTATGTAATGCCTCCGCTGCTGCTACCATGCTGCCTTTAGTTTAATATCTTCTGTTTTCTAACAAATATATACCTTAACAACAACCCTCCTGGGTTTTGAGGACACTTATTCTTGGCCCCATATCAGTTTTCTTATTTCCAGTGATATAGGCCCTGATTCAGCCAAGTACTTAAACATGTGCTTAACTTTAAGCACGTTTAAGTCTGTCCCTGTTCAGTAAAACACTTAAGCGTCAAATTAAATACATGTTAAAAGTGTTTTGCTGAATCAGAGCCATATATTTGGCTAATTTTGTAGCTCATCTTTACCCAATAGTTAGTTTCCTGTGTCTGATTTTCTATATATATATAATATACATATAAAATATTGTGTGGTGTGTGTGTGTGTGTGTGTATGTGTATATGTAAGTGTATATAAATAAATGAAATGCAGAGTGGATCATTTTTATTTTTCCCAAAATAATGTATACGTGAATGAAATATATCCTCCTTTATTCAAATGATCTTCCTTTTTTACACTGAGAAAATAAGACAGTTAATTTATTGAGCCCTAAAAATGAATCTGAGGCACTAAGGTTAGCAGTTACATTAATCTGTAATATTAAACTGACAAGTTAAATTCCCAATGTGTATTAGACTGCACCAGGCCAGCCAGGCAGCCCAGTCGACACTAATGGGGAAACTAATTGATTTAATGTTTCCAATTCATGAATATCTTCCCTCAGCTTCTGATGGGTAACAGCCCCAACCTTTTGGCTGGTATTTCTAATATAAATTACCATGTTAGCCATCTTCTTTAACTCCATTTTCTTCATATTTTCCATAGTAGTTACTGCTGCATAAGACTACAGGGTAATTCTTAATAGACCGTTGGTTTGCACTTTAAGAGCAAGAACTGCAGCTGCTATAAATCAGCACGGCTCAGTTGATTTCAAGAGTTATGCCAGTTTACACCAGCTGAGGATCAGGCCTTAATGCCTTAAGTTTAACACACAGAACTCCAGGTAAAACCAGTGGGAGATGCAAACATGTACAAGTGTGTAATCATACCCAGAATGTTCCCAAAAGTCTATCCTATGTCACAACATGTGAGATTTTCAAAAGGGTTTAGCACTGGCCTAATCTGCTCCCATTGAAATCAATGGGAATTCTACCATTCTCTTCAATGGGAACACAGACTGGAGTACGTCTACATTGCAGAGAAAGGTGTACTTAACTCGGACCAGCTAACTCAGGTTAAAATAGCAGTGAAGAAATGGCAACTTGGCTTTTAACTCAGGTTAGCAGCTTGCGTTTAACTCCGGGCTGTCAGATAAACATTGCAGTCTATTGTTTAAACGCATTAATACAGAATTTCGAATTTGTGGTCCAAATAAGAGGTGAGCATGCAAACTCTATCAAGATTCCAGATACATGTTAGTAATATAAACACACACTTTTGTGTGTGTGTGAACATATACCCACACTAACACATTTTTATATTATTATGTATATGTGTGCATATATATTTGTGTATGTAAACTTTCCTGCAAATACTTGCACGTGCTTAATTTGAAGTATAGGGGAAGACTTATTAAACTCAAAGGGACTACTCATGTGCTTACATCTTTGCAGGGTGTGTGTGTGTGTGTGTGTGTGTGTGTGTGTGTTTTGCATAAAGCTTTGGAGGATCAGGGTGTGTGTATATCCTGTAGTCTGGGGATTGGTCCTGCTTTGAGCAGGGGGTTGGACTAGATGACCTCCTGAGGTCCCTTCCAACCCTGATATTCTATGATTCTATGATTCTGAGTTTTTCCCAGCAAAAAACAAACTGGTTGATATTTATAGACTAGTTCATAAAGTTTCATTTTAAAAAAGTAATTTTCAGCTGTTAGACGACAAAAGTGTTATTACAATTAATAGCCCATCTCTTCATCCTGGTATATTAAAGTGGGGCCAGCTGTATTTTTTCTTTTTCAAATATTGGAAAAAGGAAAATAAACAATCTCCCCAAGATGAGACATTTGCATGAAGAGCTATTAAAATGGATTTATAAACCCTTTAGCAAAGGGGCACACCGCACTATGGAACACACTGACTCCTGAAACTGGATAGGTAAAACTGCCATGTGAAGGTGCTGCTCCAAACCAGTTTGCAGCTATGGGGAAAATAAGACTGTATCTGACTCCCAACAGTGTAGGCAAAACATCCCCTGAGGAGTCTGAACTCACACTTCTAATAGGTGGAAATAATTACAGATGCTCCACTCTAGAGGTACAGTCGTCCATTTCACATTAATAAAAATCATCTTACCAACAAGAATTTTCAAGTAATTCTATATCATATAAATGTATTCAATACCAGCCAATTCTTTGAGATTTAGGGACACTTAGCATTTTTAGGATCAAGGATTGGGCCCTTATTTATTTAGCACCAGCAATGTCCTCAACCACATAATAGACAGTCCTTGCCCTGAAGATCTTATATAAAATTCCCCCCCTCCCTTCTTCAGTCTCCAGTGGGGTTTGACCATTGGGGCGTGAGTGCTAAAAGCATGTATCTGGACAGCTTGAACTAGAGCAGTGGCTGGCAGTAGTAACTGACTGCGTTCTTATGCAAACCAGTCCCTAGATAGGGCCAAAGATAGGCACTGTGCTAGTGATGTTCAGATTTGCGTGCTAAAAAAGATGAATGCATAGAGAACAGGGCACACTGGAAATGCAGAGGTAGGATAACTAAGCCCAGATACGGCAAACATGTATGGGTATGCTGGGGAGTAGCTCCATTGGACTCCGACTACTCATGTGAGTATGGGCCGGCAGGAGCGGGGGGGGGGGTGTTTATATTTCATTAACAATGTTCCAAACTCCCTTCTTTTAGGGCTTCAGCTCATGGCCCAGCAAAGCACTTGGGCACAAAGTTAACTTCAAGCATATGTGTAATCCCACTGACTTCAGCGGGACGATTTGTGTGCTTAAAGTTAAGCCCTGATCCAGTGCCTAATGAAGTCCATGGAAGACCTCCCATTGACTTGAATGGTCTTTGAATTAACCCCTTCCTCATTTGCAGAAGTAAAAATAAGGCCAAACCTTGGGTAAAGTTTTGATGAGTGTTTTGGTTTGGGTTCTCTAATCCTATATACTTTAGGGATACAACTGAGAGTGGATATTCTTAAAGCATTAAAGTCCAAATTCTGCTCTAACTTGTACTGGTGTAAACCCAGAGTAACGCCAATGAAGTCATAGTGTTACTATAATATGTATTCTATGTTAGAATATGAAAGTCATTGGAATTTCTCTGCATTTGTGTTAGTGGTTTTTCAAAGCAGAGTTTGGCCCCAGGCATGACAACCTGCCTTGTTAACTTTGTGCCTTCCTTGTACTAACCTTTGTTTGATGTGTCTCTCTTATCTGACAACTATCCTCATCCCCAATGCCTTGGCACTCTGCTACAGGTGGCAATAAGGAATGACTCCTTGGACATGTATTGCTCTGAAAGCAAAGAGAATTTGCATGCTGAGGTGAATGAACTCTCTGATACAAATGTGCCAGCTGGATCCACAGAGGACCCATCAGAAGCAAGTGAATCGGCCTGCTGGGGCCGATCAAGTGTTCGCACTCAGCATTCCCACAATCGGTATAATATATCCAAGCACACACCAGCTTTGTGTGCATGTACAGGCTCATATCAAGAGACACTTAGAGACTCGATGGACCAAGAAGTATCTGAAATAAACAGCTCTTTGGAGCCTTTCACTTCAGGAACTTGTACAGCCTTGAGTGCCTGTTCAG